CGGTGTCAGTTTGAAAAAAAAGCAACCTTACCCAAACAACTTTTTGTTATTTAATAGATTACGCATTCTCTAAACAATGATTAGTATATCTATTAACATTAGAAGGAAATGTGACGAAAATCACACAATGTTGGGGTTTTGGTCATTTGTAATTTTATTTTTTAAGTAGGTAGGCCATGTATTCTATGGAAAAGTACCGGTATCAAGGATCGTCGTCAAAAAGGTTGTTATGAATAAATATGTTGGCTTACGTACCCAAGATATGAGCTATGGGCCTATTGGCTGTATGGTCCAGCGATTGCATCACACGGTGAGTAGAAACAGAAAGTGACACATTGGAAAAGCGAGTTTAGCACTTCCTCTGTTAAACCTCTGTTACAATCACCCACTGCAGTTGTGATTTTTTACTTTACACTTTACACAACCGCCATTGAAGCGCCGTCAATGAGTGGAAACCTTTTTTGTAAGCTATTGGCGACGATCATTTCAGTGTCACAGCCCTATACAACACTGATTCAAGGTCTTCTTCTTTCTGGTTGTCAAAACTCAAGAAACATTTTATACTCAAAGAATTTCTGGTTCCGATTTGGACGATGTCTAGTTATTTAATTTTATTCACGGTTACACTATTGGACTATATTATTGCACTTGCGATTAATTAAATCCGTTATGTAAGAAAAACGTTTTTAATCTCACTTGGTTGGGATTTGCTTTCAAAACGTGATTCGAAATAGTTGCGGTATTTGTAAACAACATTTGTAAACATGTCATTGACAACTAGAAAAAATAATCTTGATCCGAACAGCTGTTCGTTATTTCATAGACGATTATGTGATAAAAATTGAACGAAAATTTGACAAAAATCGCACAAAACTGCATTTTTGAACGTCCGTAATTTTATTTACAAAGTAGTGAGGCTATATTTAAATCACTAAAGACACTCTCGCCAATCCAGTGAATACATTAAAATGACTTGGATCTTGATATGTACTCTGGTTTTCACGGAGAAGATTGCGTAAAATGCCATCTTGAGAGTTACAGACAAAGGGACAGACAGACAGACAGAAATTGAGATAAGACTCGTTTCTGCTTCTTTAATGTATAAAACGTAAAAATAACCTAAAAGTATATAATTCTGAGCAATGTACAGACAAAACTCTAATTTTATTTATATAGATTTTTTGTTATTATCTGTTATGCTATCTGTTTGTTGTTATTATACTTTGTTAATGTTATTATCTGTTCTTGTTGTTACATTGCTATCTTGTTGTTATTACTTTTTGTTGCAATGATGTTTCGTTCAATGGTATGCATCTTCTCTTATTACCTATTTCAAATGCAATTTTATGTTTCCATTCTACTCATGTGTCTAAATATGTATTACCTATTTTGTAAATGGTGTATACGTTGGAATAAATAAATAAATAAATAAGTAAATATAGCCTAGGACGTAAACTAAAGTGCAGCCCCTTAACGTTATAAGTAGACTAGGCTAGGCCTACGTTTGTTAAGCACAATAATTTGTTAGTTGTCACATTTCATAGGTTTTAAACTGTTGAAATAAACGTGTGTTTGATTAACTTAACATAGGTGTACTCCTAGTGTCTTTTTGAAACACAATAAAATTTATGCACAAGGTGTTTCCTCTTTTTAAAACAAGTACCTAACACTTTGATCACTAGTTCCACAAATGACCGCGGTTATAGGCCTAGGCGGGTAGGCCTACAGTTTCTTAACTAGGCTATGCTAATATTGATTGAAACTATCGAATTGAAAATATTTCTTTTTAATGTCTTTTAAGGTCTTAATGTTCGCCCATTTATTGCGCAATCGCAGGGTTTTATTAAAATGTATCCTAGAAACTTAACTTAAAAACAACTGTTTTATAAAGCAGCTTGGGATTTAATTAAGAAAAACAAAGTATCTAGTGATGTGGTAGCACCAAAGATTGATTCAGACATTATAAATGATTACTTCATTAACTCTATTATTGATATAAAAAAAAAACTGGACAACCAAAGGACATGTAGCTCTTATTTGGACTTTGTAGATGAAAAATTGAATAAAAATAACACTGTATTTAGTTGGGATGAAATAACACCTAAAATGATAGTTAGTGCAGTAAAGAAAATGAAAAATTCTAATAGTAAAGATGTGTATGGAATGTCAAACAAATTACTTAAAAGTATTATCCATAGTTTAGATATACCCCTTGCTATGAGTACAAATGCATTGTTAAGGGAAGGATTATTTCCAGATTCAATGAAGATTTCTCGCGTTTGCCCGGTCTATAAGAAGGGTCCCAAAAACGAGCCCCAGAGTTATCGTCCTGTCTCAATTGTCCCAGTCCTTGGAAAATTAATTGAAATACTAGTCTATGAACAAATCAGTGAATATTTTGAGGCAAATGACTTGTTTAATGTTTCCCAATTTGGATTTAGAAAAGGAATGTCTACAATTGATACTCTTGACAATCTCATCAGGCAAATTCATCAGTCCTTTGAAAGCAAGACCTTTGCTCAGGGCACCTTTTGTGACCTGAGCAAAGCATTTGATTGTGTTGACTTTGAAATTCTTATTAAAAAGTTAGAACTGTATGGGTTTAACGGATCTTCTCTAAATTTTCTTTCATCTTATTTAAAAAACCGGAAACAACTAGTAAATTCTAATGGGAAAAAGTCACAAGAAAGGGAAGTAACTTGGGGCGTTCCACAGGGATCAGTCCTTGGACCACTTCTGTTTTTAATTTACATTAATGACCTTCCAATGGCAATAAATACTAAAACTATTCTGTACGCGGATGATACAACTTTTTTTCATGAAAACAATAACCAACTTGTACTTCAAAATTTAGTCCAAGTCACAAAATTAAACGCATCCAAATGGTTTCATGCCAATGGCTTTCTATTGAATGACTGTAAAACTCAAGAAATAAAATTTACATTGAAACACGATTCTGCCTTAAATAATGAAAATAGTGCTGTCACTACAAAATTTTTGGGTCTTCATATTGATAATAAACTATCCTGGAATGAGCATATAAATTATTTGTCTACTAGACTATCTCGAGTAATTTTTCTTCTTGGTCATCTCAAAGATGTAATTCCAAAGAACTATTTGAGATCGGCTTATTTTGCATATTTTCAGTCTGTAATGAGATATGGATTGATATTCTGGGGTGGGTGTGGACGAATTAATGAAATTTTAATCCTACAGAAGGGGGCTATCAGAGCTATGAATGGATCAGAGCCAGACGAGCACTGCAAGCCTCTTTTTAAGGATTTTAAGATTCAAACTGTAATAAATTTGTTTATTTATGATCTTGCCCTTTATATCTTAAAAAAACCCCAAAATTCAATAGCCTAATCATAATCACAATACCAGATTTAAAAAAAGTGCCTTGTTAGAATCACATCGTCTGAGTAAGACTAGCAAGAGCCACATAGTGTTATCAACTAAAGTATATAACCTTTTAAAACACAATATTGATGCTTATCCGCAAGAAAAATTTAAGTCCTTGTTTTATAATTGGCTATTAGACAACCCTTCTTATAGCCTAGACGATTTGTTCAAATCTGGCCAAATAAATCTTTGATTGCATAACCCTGCTGCTAACCTGTTGCTTTTTCAGGTCCTTATATTGTTGTTTGTTTAGTCATTTGTACATATTTTAGTTATTAAGCCCTCTATTGTTTTTTTCAAAATATTGAAAGTGTTTTGATTTTGTTTTGTTTGACAATTGATGTATAATCATGATTTTGACTTTGTCGATGATCTACTGTATCCTTATGACAAATAAAGATTTTTATTATTATTATTATTATTATATATAATTTTGTTTGGAAAATTATGGGCTTCAATGTAACATATGAAACATTAGCCTACCAAAAAAATTTCAACAATTTTTGTGGGGTTAACATTTCTCAAAAATTATAAAATAAATGAAAAAACTTTATGTTTGCGCTCAATAAATTGTTATAATTTATAGGTCTACAAATATTTTAAAATAGCCACTTTGTTCAGAATTTTATGAGGATTCCAAAATTATAATAATAGGCTAAAAGGAAGTAGGTTTGCAAATAAATAAGTTCAGGGCAAAAAACAGATTTTGGTAGCGTTTAGCTGAGAATGCATAGCCTAACCATAGCTAGGAATCTGGCTGATAATTTACATCAATAAGTATCACTACGGTACCTACTTCTTCAGGATCATCAACCAGCCCTTCAAAATCACTTAAATCTTCTTATAATGCACCATGAATATCACTACTTTTGATCTTTAACACTAAAGCAATGATAAACGTAATAAAACACATCAGTCATCGTGCGAGGTTAACCAAGCTGTTTAGAAATACGCACGTCAGCTGTCTGCTACAATATTTTCGGAACTAAAATGAAAAGCGTATAGAAACAGACATCAGGAGAAAGCTCTGAATCTGCTGAAAAAAACAATACCTAACTCAATCCAGTTCAATCCGATTCAGTCAGTCCCAGAGCCGTCGCCGTAAACAGTGTTTGTGAGTCGCAAAAGCGACACATAACACTACAGTGGATGTGTTATGAGTCCCTTTTACGACACATAACACTCGGAGGGTTAATCGATATTTTTAAATAGGCCTATATCTATTATAAAATAAAACTATCATAATAGCCCTAACCAACCAATCATGCGCTGATGGTGAAAAAATCGCATGAAGGTTTACTAATTGAATCGATAGTTTCAATCAATATTAGCGTAGCCCAGTTAAGAAACTGTACCCGCCTAGGCCAACACACAGCAAACATTCTGCAATCAATTTAATCAAAATGATTACGGTAAGTTAAAGTTATAATTTCAGCTTAATCGCCTGTAAAATTTAATTTGGTCTGACCCTTACTCGTTGTGATTAGATTAATAAGTATATAACCATAACCACGGTTTAATTGTGTAACTACAGTATGGGTAAATGTTAATTTAAGTGTACTAGTTAATTTGTAAAAAATAGGCTTTACACTACCGACCTTCACTCCAAGCTTTACCACGTGGATTTAAACACCACTTTTCACGTTTCTTCTTCTCTGCAAGCATGGACATTATGATTTAAATACTTCTTATAGACTTTCCATTTTCTTGAAACTCAGTAATTAATTTGTTTACTTATCAGATATGCCACAGTTTAGATAAACTGAACTTATGCTATCGATTCTAGGACCTAGGTTAAAACAATCTAAAATCTAACTTACTTACAACACACCACAAAACAACCAAAACCTAACCTCAATCAAATAAAGAAACAAACACAATCATGTGGCTGGTGAGTGTGTCAGTGTGACCACTACACCGTCAAAAAGCTTTTTGAAATACCCAAATTTCATTACCCATACCATTGTTTAAAAAGCTTAGCCAGTTTAGGATGAATCTTTTAAAAGTTTATACCATACTGTAATACCATAGATAAAACGTAATACCATAGACTAACCAACGTATGTTTTATCTATGGTAATACCTTGGAGAAGGTAAGTATATTTCTTAGTAACTCTGGTTTTGGTGAAAGAGAGAGTCGGGTTTGATCTCAAACATTAATAATTAATAATAGAAATTTGTTGTAATCTACTGGTAGAATAAAATTAAATATAAGTTAATAATTTGCCTTTGAATACGTGCACTAAAGTGCAACATCAATATTTAACTGTGTTTTTTTTTTTTTTTTTTTTACCTTCCGATGGCCATGAACTAATTTACAATAAAAACAATGATGACTTATTCTAACTTAAATGACTTCGGATAGATTCATAGATTGCGTCAAACATATATTTACACTATTTACAATATGTATAATATTTACCTCGTCCTCGCTGTCACAATAGTTGCTTTGCTACTTGGAAGTAGATTTTAACATTTCAATATTGATAGTAAATTAACAGTAATCTGGATAATTTTTTTATAGTATAGCTTGACGTGCGGAAAGTAATTTAACAGCTGGCTGGGTACGATGTCATAGCTTATAATGTCATAGCTTATAATTGCGAATTTGTTGCATAGCTTATAATCTTGAAAATGTGGCATAGCTTATAATGGATAATTTAAATTGTTCCATAGCTTATAATCGTAGAAATGTGGCATAGCTTATAACGGTTTTCTTAAAATGTGGCATAACTTATAATGGCATAGCTCAAATGTGCTGCAGCTTATAAAATCTCGTTTGTTCCATAGCTTATAATTTTAAAAACGTGGCATAGCTTATAACGCGCGGGAATTACGTCATAGCGGATGGGACAGCTGATCGATCCTGAGTAGACAAAAAATTATCGTGCAATGGTCCTCAAATTATCGTATGGACTATCAGCCGCTACTCGGCAATAAGAAGTCGCGTTAAGTGCAGCCAACGTAGCAAAACCAAAAGTATTTCAAGTTTTTTTTACTCCTGGACGACATATGTAATAGATGTATATATTAAATGGTTTTTTGTTGAATAATAGAATAATTTTTTGTATCTGCTGTTTTACTTTAATTATGTAAGCTGAAATATATTATCATAAGTTTGATATTGCTTGTGTTGCTTATTTATGCTATGCATGATAACAACTATTGTATAGGTAATATTTATATTGTAATATTGTGTAATACCGGTGTAAAAATACTTTTTCATAGATAAAACCGTAGACTATGCAACATAAGTAGACTTCTCATCCCATTGTTGATTTTGAAGCTTGTTTTTCGTGTCTATTTCATGTACGTCGACACTGATCGCAAGTGTAAACGAAATCTTGTTTCTATTATATTAGGGTAATTTTATGATTTGTGCTTTACTGTTTGGTTGTATAACTAGGAGACCAGTTATTTTTATGATTAGATAGTTTTATTTGGTTAAATTAGGTTTTAAATAACTGAAATAACAATTAAGAAACATACTTTATTGTAAAAAAACACAACCTCTACAGTCGGCATAGAATAGCAATAAAATTGGCTTCAGCTTTTCAACAAGAATGACAAATCTTCTAAGGGACTAAATGTTTGATCTAGGATCAAAACATATTTAGTAGATTTGTCATACTTATGGAACAGCTTAAGCCCAAATTTTAGTTTTATTTCTGTACGGTGCAATGTAGATAATAGAGGTCATGTTTTGTTTACAATTTGTTTCTTATTATTTCACTGTTTACACCTTCATTTAGCCAAATCTTGTCTTAGCCGATCTTGTCATGTAGCGGTCAGTGTCACAGACAAGAACTACAAAATAGTGCAACCCCCATTCCTGTATTATGTTTCAAAAGTTAAAGCAACTTTTCTGTTAAAAAGTAACCCAAGCATGATTTTTTATTGCAAGAAAAATTAAAATATTCTTCCCAAAGATCGGAAACATAAGTTTGACAATAGTTTTGTCCATTGATGTAATTTCTGTAATATCAAAAATGATATATCCAAGTATTTATAAACAGTACTACAATTCTAAAATCCATACTGAACTCTACGTCATTAGCAAAACTTGACACAAGAAGGCACTTCCAAAATAGTCATAGTGTTATGTATTAAGGAATAAGTAATAAGTTCATTTAAGATTTTATTTGTATTGATCAAGTAATTCAGTACTAAGTAAAAGTGTAAAGAAAAAAACGGATTTCTAACAACATATTTAAATATAATAAATATTCAAATATATTTTTACTCGTAAATACTCTCAAATACCTCTCGACTGACTGGTTCTTTACAAATTGGTTGCCCCTGGGTTGGAAGAACTAAGTGAAGAATAATATTACAACAGAGCGTTGGCAGTGGAAGCTTGATGTTAAATAAAAATTTAGTGAGCCCTGTGGAATAAAATTACCCCCAGAAGTCCTTAGGGGACGTTCTTGGTAGTGTTTAGTTCTTCCAAGGCTGAAAACAATCTTAAGACTACACTGACTCTACCTTGCACACTACCACACTAAACTTAGTGTTGCACCCAAGGTGTATCTTTTGTAGTGGATTCTTATTGGTTATAATTACGACTCTTTGAAAGAACTATATTTATGCTAGGATTGAAATACCAAAGGTTAATGATAATGAGCAAATAAATCACAATTCCATATATTTAAAAATAACTTCAGTGGAGAATAAATTACAATATAACGATGACACAAGGTGATGTGTTATGAAATGTATGGCCTTTTACCCTAATATATTTGCCATTAATGTTATCACTACTATATATCGAACCTCTCGGTAGAGGAATTAAGTGATTGGCGCGGTTACAATATAGCCGCGACAGTGACATTAAGGTGTGAAATTTTAATGTTTGAGACGATCCAACACTCACAAAATCCAAAGACAGGGTGGCTAGTGAAATCACATTGAAAAATTTCCTGACTTTTCCATGATTTTTTTAAACTTTCCCTGATCGACAAATTCAAATTACAATTTTTATACTAACTAAATCTTCAAAAGGACTAATCTTTATCTGAAGAATATCTTATGTTTGTTGACATGAAAAAATACATAAAATCTATAGATACAGGCTTGTAGTTTATATTCAAACTTTGCAGCTTGCTTTAATAAAATTAAACAGAGTTTGATAAGATGATACACAGTTTATAACAAAATTTAATTTGTACAAAAATACAAAATGTATTTGTACAAAACATATTTTTCAGTTTTCCCCGACACGGCATACGTACTCTCACCAGATCGACCTTTACTAACAATTATTTTAAAAATTTTACAATTTTCCCTGACTTTTCCAGATATTTAATATTCCCTGACATTTCCAGGTCACTAGCCACCCTGAAAGACTATAAAATTGAAGTGTAGATCTCGTTGTCCAATTTGTTACACAGTATAACTGTACGTAACTCAAAGCAATGGTATGAAAGATTATTTATTATTTATAGCTAAAGAGTGTTATGGCGGGTACGTCTATATTGGAATACACTCCCACTAACTACAATCGCAAGCCATAATCGAACCTGCAGCCCTTCCAAGTGAATTAAATTTTCCAATTAATTTCACCATTGGCAATTGAGTGAAAATTTAAAAACGTACGTTTTTAGGAAAAGCACTTTGAAAACTTTTTTCCCCTTTTTTCAAAACTTTTGTTATTTTTTTATTTCATTAACATTTGAATTTTCATTAAATGTTCATGGTAACGAAATATCTTTGGTTTTTTTTTTTTTTTAAAGAGCATCTTTAGTGGAAAAACACAAAATCCTGTCACGACCATAACAGACGTTTAAATTAATATTAAAAATAGTTAATATTATTTTTATAACTATGTTTTGCTATAAACTAATTCACTTTTATAACCATTATAAAATAAAAAGGTCACTGAGCTTTTGGTATATTTGGTCTTTCTAGAAAAAAATAAAAAATAAATAAAATCTTTACAAGTTTGTATAACTCCAAAAAAACTTACCTGAGACCCGAAAAATCGTTATGTTTGTATAGAGGTGTGCTCCTTTTGTGTCTAAAACATTGAAATATGACGATATTTTAATTTTTGAAATTTTTATGATAGAAATCATAAACGTGATGGTCAGGGACAAGCGGTACGGTCGTGAATTGTCTAAAATAATCTAAATCTTTCTAAACAATCCTTCAATTATACTGTTAGTTATAATAAAAAAATGTGTTTCAATTGAACTAAACGGTTCAATTTACAATTATATTATCATAAGGCTGGATTGGTCGTGAAAAAACCCGCGATGGTCGTGAAATTACGTGTTGGCTATGTTCTGGCGGTAGCCCTGCACCTCATGTTCGAGGATACAAAGTGGACTTCTAAGTTAATCTAGCAATTGAAATGTCTTATAAACAAAAATTAACACCATGTCTACTTTATCGAATGACTACGTACGGTCATGGACACACCAAAATTACAAAAAACACAATCTTTCCTTTATCAACCTTGTAATTCCTCCTTTCAACTCGAAACGACCGGCACTACAATCCTGACGTTCACCCCGAACTACTCTCTAAAACCAACTGACTCCATCGACGCCAGGCTTGCCACTGTCGTGCTCCAAAGTTCAAAATTTTTCCCAAATGGTCGTGACGCCAAATCGAGGGACAGGCTGATTTTGTCATGGTAGTCAGTTTGCAATGACAATAAAATTATAATATGCTCCTTTTTTGTAAGTTTAATAACCATTGATGACATAAAAATATGGCTTTATACATTTCGGCACGAATAATTAGTCTAAAAACAGTGTGAAAGTTGAAAAATGTACCCTAGGGACACGTCATGGTCGTGAATTTCGAGACTTTAAAAATACGAAAAAAAAAGGAATCAGAGAGAATACGGATGAGTTTTTTTCCAAAATGCGGACAAATTGAATTTTGGTTGAACCAAGACGTGAAATTTCGGGAGCGGTATGTATAAGTTGGTGAGGATGAAACGAGTTTTTCCTAACTTAATTTAATTCCAAACGCGTGGCAATTATATCCCTGCGGGATATAGGCTTTAGGGTTTGTTGAAAATTAAATTTTTGCCAACTAACACTGCAAACTACGAGTTGATTTGCACGACTCCACTTAACAACTCACCCCACGCATAGGAAGGTTGGAGACACACCGGTCACTGAGACAGACCCTTGGCTAGAAGCTTTCCCCACCACGTCGTAGGGCCCTTGGGTAAGTCACCTATGTCTAATCAGCTGACTGGATTTGCGTTTCTAATTTGCTGTTTATATTGCATCACATTCGGTACAAAAGAGAGAAATTTAAATTTTGCTTGTTACTTGTTTTGGGCGACACACCAACAGGGCCGGATTTCCCAATAGGCCCGGGCCTATGGGCGCAAGGTCCTAGAGGGCGCACGTTTGAGGCCGAGAGTAAACCTTTTGTATACAGGTTATCTAAAAATAAAAATAAATACAAAGCATTGTGATTCTGAAGTTCATAAGAAGAAATCGTTGTCAGGAAATTTGAACTATTTTTCAGAATTGCGCAAAAAGTTCGTTACAAAATTGGTAACGAAAATTGGTTAAACGGGAGTATGCTGTAGGGATGTTGACATTGACGAGCGCCCAAGGGGTACTCATTGTATTGCCACTGCACTGCCACTATGCTGGCTCGGGCTCTCGGCACCACTACTGATCAGAGTGGATTAGGTGTTGACACCAAGCCTTAGTTGCAACCCAAACTTGAGCAAAAATGGGGCCTAAGGTAAATATCAGGGCTATCCCTAGGGTTGGCAGCGCCCGGAGCAAACATGGTTGTGGCGCCCCCTCCCCACCAGTAATAATAGTCGCATTCACATATTTTAATCAATTTTATGTATAGATAATGAGAAAAAAGTTATAAATGAACATAATATTTGTATTAGCAAGCCTATTCTTTAAATATAATAATCTTAAAAATTTGGTTGTCCGGATGCAGATTAACTCCTAGGGAGGAATTTGGAAATCCATTATTACTGGGATAATTATGAAGTACTTTTATTTAAGGACTGGTCTTGGTTGTGTTACTTACTTTTTTTAAAGTAGAAAATCAATATGATTAGGCTCAATAATGGAGTGTATTTTAATGTTTTATCAAGAATAATAGGCGAATAGCATTAAACATTTTGGTTTATAAAATATTTTTAGATAAGGGTAGGGACCTTAATAAAACACAACAATCAATCATAATAGGTAGTCTATAAATTGGAGAAAGTTTTACTGTTTAAAAAATACTTCTTACAACACAATTGAAATACAAATAAAGATTATAAGGCGAAGTTAATAGCTGAGCAACCCTTCTGCATTCTTCTGTCATGATATCCTGAAACAAATAAACAATAACTCAAAATTGTTATCAGAACTAAATAGAGAAAGGGGTGTCTTGTTAGCTTGGTGGTTAATTTGTCCTGGACTTTGCTGCAAGAGAAATTGAGATTTACTTAAAGGATCCTTGCACAAGGTGAGAGGATTCAACATAATTTTTCCATGGATATTGCACACACTTGCCCAGCACAGCACAAACCTGCTAACAACAGGCTACTATTAAAATTAAAGTAAAGTAAAGTACTGTAGAACCAAATCAGATTACGATCTTGTGTCCACCATAGCACTATAGAACACCATAGAGCACTAAACGGTTTTCATAGTCTTTTATCAATTAAGTATAAAAAGTATCCATTCAAATACATACAAATTATAACCCAGTGAATGATTGAAATACATGTCATGATGAAACCATACAGCGGTAGCCCAAGTACGGCTTCATAAAATCATATGCTAGTTGGTCTGACCATACTGGGCAGGAGTAGAGTGGCCAGCTGTGCTGCGGTTAGCGTATATTCCGGCACCGACCGTTTCCATAACAACTTGGTAGTTGGGAGTAGTGTTGCCAACTTTGGAGGAATCCCCCGGAATTGGAGTTTACTGACTTATTTAATATTAAGCAATAAATTAATTTAAATGCCATCTTTTATTGTATTTTTTTAACATATATTTGTTATACTTTTGTAGTTTCATTACAATGAATCAAAGTTTTTCTTTATTAATCCATAATTTTAGGAAGTGGTCTATTGGAAGGTTTTGTTTTATATTTGCAAGGTCAAAATCAAATTTAACCAGGATGTCTAGTAGTCAGGGAAAACGGGAAATTCAGGTATTAGTATTGAATTTCAAAATGGTCTTGAAAAGTTGGGATTTAGTCTTTATTTTGATATCAAAGTCGGTAAATTTCATGATTTTACCTTGATCGCGCTAGACAACGATCACGTTTCCGTGACGGCACAAGACGATGGATGATGTGTCTACACGACCGCGGGAGATGTTCTTAAACCGCGACTGTGCTAGACGACGTTTCCGTGACCACGGACCACAGGAAAAATGATCACGCCTTTTCTGCGATCGCGCAAGACGATTGTATATACGGCCGCTGAAGATGTCCACAATTTTGCCGCAATTGTTTATGACGATGACGTTTCGAGACCACGGCATTCAATGATGATGTCTACACAGCCGCGGAAGATGTTCATGATTTTGACGCGATTGCAGAAGACGACAATAGCGAATAGTAATCATTTCGTTTGCAAGAGTGGTAGTGCTGGTAACAGCTGGCGAGTAGTCGACGACGACACTGAGTCGAATACTGATAACTGATATCGAACAACAAAAACGCTCTAGCGGCAGATCGCAAAACCTTTCTTTGACAGTCTATATTTACTCTATTGTCTATGACTATAGTATTACACATCTACCATAGCCATAATGTTCTACCACTTCACCCAAACAAAAGAAAAAAAATAATTATTAAAGATACGACTTTTTACCCAATGACCTTTTCTATTGGTAATATTTTTTGGATTAAAACTACGTTTTAACGGATGTCCTATCTCGTACCGTTCTCGAGCTACAGTCATTTCGATGTATAGCGCGTTCCGCCATCTTTGCCCCCCTCCCCCCAAGTTCTCGACCACCTGAAAAGTAGGCGACATGCGTATTTTGTATCACCACAGTCCATATTACAACTATCAGCAAAGATATTTGATATTACTTCTTTGCGACACTCACAAATTAATTCTACTTTCGGTAAAAAATCTACACGAAAAGTCCATTTTTACATATTTTATACAATAACTTGTTTATTTATAGAGATACGACCTCGGACCCAATGACCATTATTGTTGTCCACATTTTTAGGATTACAACGACGTTTTAACCGATGTTCTATCTTTTACCGTTTTCGAACTATCAGCGTTTTAACGCATAGCGCAAACCGCCATGTTTGCCCCCTCCCCCCCACCTTATCGACCACTTTTGAAATAGGCGACATACGTAATTTTGATCACCACAGTCCATATTACAATAATCAGCAATAACATTGCGTACTACTTTCATGCATGCTCAACCCCCCTCAGCTCCTGGACTATAGTATGATTGTTTTTGCTCAAGCTCCTACGTATGAGCAATCGATGTATCTAAGGTTTAATGGGTGTTGGGGAAAAATAACTAATTTAATTCTGTGCTGGTATTAAATTTTTTTTACCACAAAAAGATGTGAAACTACTTTATTGTTACCAGTTGTGTGGGGGCAATAAACTATAAACAAATAACTTGGTCTTTCCACATATTTAGACTGGTGTAGTTGTACAGCGTAAGTCTCCGGTTCCGAAGATAACGGATTCACATCCTGGAAATCACCATGACAATTTGACAGATGGCCACCCTGTGCGTTGCTCCTCATGAACGTTGGTGCGGCCATCTTTAAATGCCCTTACCCACCTGCGTAGGTACCATTCCGCCACTCATAATTTTCTCCCCATACACTTCACTAATCTGTCAATGAATTTAAATGGCTTTCACACCTTTAGCACTTAAAAATCTTATTACCGGTACAGCGCAAACTACACAGGCGACGGCAGTCTCAATTGGCGGCACCGTTTTGAATGCTCTAAACCCGATGTAAACACAGCCGATTTTTGCCGAATTTCCAGCGCAGGATTGCCAATACATGCACATACACAGCACAAATGTCCAAAATGCCAATCGCAGCACTGAAACGGAGAAATTTAAAAACAGTACTTACTTAAATAACATGCCTTGTATTATTCTGTCACCATAGGTAACTCTGAAACTTGAACAGTGCTGTAAGTTGATTAAAGTGTCTTTTTTTCCAAATATAAAAACTTAACCGCCACAGCACATCATAAGTTAATGTTAAACAAGGACTGAAAATGCTTCTTAGTCATATTGATAGCTTAGCCAAACTTACTTATCTTTATTGCTTTCGATTCTTTTCCAAGAAAATTTCTCTCCTTCTTATTTGGCCCCAAATAAGCAGACAATTCATCAATATTGTTTACATGTGAAGTACTCTCATACATTAACACCAAACATTTGTAATGCTCCAAGCTTTACAAGAAAATTTACCTGGAACAAAAATAGGCAGTGTACATTATTCAGGCCTTCTTCTTGTTAAAAGTAAAAACAGAATATAGAAACAATGACTCAAGGTAGGGCATATTTTCTTTTCACATATATTTGGATTGGTAAATAAAAACTTAAAAACTCGAAGGCCACTGGTTCTCTCAGACCCAAGTGTCATTACCCAGGTGGAACTAATAAAGTGTGTTTTTTATTAAAACATTAATAGCTTAGTATAAAATAAAGCTATCAAGTTTGATTTATAAAAATAAATATAGCCTATGTATATAGAGTAAAATATATTTATATAGAGTAAAATATAAATTAAGCTTTTTGTTGGTCGCAAAACATAAACAAATAAAAAGTAGAAGAATATTATTCTTATGCGACAAATTTAAAAATGTATTTTTTGGGTTTTATAATTACTACTGAACGGAATCGTCTAAATTTTATGGTGTCTTTCCATTGGTGTCATAATTAAGATTTGTGCAATTTTTTAACACTATAGGTGCAACGGTTAGCTTGAGTTTTTTATGCGAACACTTACACACACACACACAGTCAAGCGGACAACTAATCCACGACTCTGCTAAGTTATACACAACACAATACATAGATGACATATTATTTTTTTTAAATTTCTTTAGAAAGGTCTAGAGAATAATTGATAAATTTTGTGTTTTAAGGGTAAAAAATTAGAAAGCCCCATTTTTTGGCCTAGGCCCCTTCTCTGCATAAAACTCATTAAAACCCGGTCCCATGGTCCGATCATGCTAGTTCGCGAACTCATTCAGATATATCCCGCCTTACACCTCCAAACCAAATTTTCATTTGATTTTAGGTTATGAAACAAACATAATACAAGGATTTGCCTTTGCCAATTACAATCAATTGTAAGTATGGTGGGCTAATATGTTCTCAGGTATGTCACAATTTCAATTTTTCAAGAACATTTTTCTTAGGTACATGTTTTTTTGCCATAAGTTAACTGCATGGTTTGCTGCCTTGTTTACTGTGTGAAATTAACCTAACTTAAGTTTTGTGACGTTGACTATTGTAAGTTATTTTATAGCCTACTAAATTTCCATTCATACTTGGCTTCCTACCTAATATGTATGGTCGCCATTTCATTGAACAGTATTAACAGTATTAATGGTAGAATAAGTTAAAGGGTACAGTTTCTTAACTGGGCTACGCTAATTTTATTGAAACTATCGATTCGATTAGTAAACCTACATGCGATTTTTTCACCATCCAAATAGTTTGGTTGGTTAGGTTAGGTTATGATAGTTTAATTTTATAATAAACTCAGATATATTTTAAAATATCAATTATTAGTCAATATTTTTAATTCGATAGTTCAATAAACAATATTAACTTAAGTTAGCGTAACCCAGTTAAGAAACTGTAGGCCTACCCAAGTTAAATCTCTTGGCTCAGTATTATCACGCTTACCATTTCTAAGGTTGCACTTCCATAAGTTATCTGTTGGCACAAACAATCGAATGAAAATATGGATCGATATACGGTATCGATTATTCGATATATCGTTTGGTATCATTATTACTCATTCGGTTGTTTGTGCCAACAGATATGGAAGTGTACCCATTTCGAACATAGCCTATGCTAACCATTTTTTATATACTTAGGCTACTAAGTTAGGCCTAACCTAACAGTAACTTAAGTTAGTTAGCCTATATTTTTAAGCACGCTGCTTCAACAGACAATTCCTATCTTAAGTTAATACACCTACACCTTGTTTAAGAATGTAGGCCTAAGTCATTACTTAGTTGAATAGGCTGCACTTTAGTTTACGTCCTACACTCATTCTAATGAAAAATATCAGTTAGATTATTCGATATTTCAATTAGGCTATTTCATTAATAACCAAACTTGATGGCCTACTTATATCGATTATAGGCCTACTCGAACACTTGATACTCATTCGATATATTCATTTGAATGAGTGTAGGACGTAAACTTTAGTGCAGCCGTTGAATACATTCACTGATATTTTTATTAAGTTAATTGCTTATGCTTGTCACAGGAAATCTGTAACTTAAGTCACAGCTAACTTAACCCTCCCAGTGTTACTTGACGAAAATTCGACAAGCAGCACACTTTGTGTAGTGTTACTTGTCGATTTTTCGACACGCAGACATCGTTTACGGCGAAGGCTCTATGACTGACTGAATCGGATTGAACTGGATCGAGTTAGGTATCGTTCTTTCCGTAATATTCTAAGCTTTCTCCAGAGGTCTGTCTCTAAGCGCTATTCATTTTAGTTCCGAAAATATTGTAGCAGACAGCTGACTGAGCTGACGTGCGTGTATTTGTAAACAGCTAGGTTACCCTCGGACCGATGACTGATGTGTTTTATTACGTTTATCATTGTTTTAGTGTTAAAAATCAAAAGTAGTGATATACGTGGTGCATTATAAGAAGATTTAAGTGGTTTTGAAGTGCTGGTTGATGATCCTGAAGAAGTAGGTAGTGATATTGATGTAAATTATCAGCCAGATTCCTAGCTATGGTTAGGCTATGCATTCTTAGCTAAACGCTATGTACTGAAATCAGTTTTTTGCCAATAACTTATTTATTTGCAAATCTACTTCCTTATATTACTATATATTTGTAATCCTCATAAAATTTAGAACAAAGTGGCTATTTTCAAATATTTATAGGCCTATAATTTATACAATTTCATTGAGCGCAAACTTATTTTTTTTTTCAATTTTTCCAAAATATTTTTTTTTTTACCTAAATAAATTTTTTGAAACAAATATTCCTTATGTTTTATGTATGATATTGAAGCCCATGATTTTCCAAACAAAATGGTATATAGAACATTAGAATTAACATTGTTTTAAGCTTCTCAGATCTGTTTTAATAAAACCTTGCAAATGCGCCAAAAATAGGTGGACATTAAGGCCTAAACTATGGACACTTGGAGGGTTAAGCGTAGGCTAGACAACTGTACCTACTAGGCTAACTTAACCTAATAACACTCAAGCAAATAATAGCCTACTTACTGCATTTTGTTACTTTGAATAACAAGAACAAGGCCTAGGAACAGGATTGGATTAAAACACAACTTACTGGATTTCAACACCACAATAGTTTTGGAATTTTTTGATGCTTAAAATTTATTAATAATTATTGTTCCTCTCCTTTATCTTCTATCAACACCAGCCGGACCATTGACAAGTGACAAGACAAGATTCAATTCATTAATTTTCAATGCCGTTATCCTTCACTTCACTTCATTTTTATATCTTTTAACTTCTCACTATAAATATTTCTTGCATTTTCATTGTCATATAGCATGTAATTGTTGCCATTTCTCGTATAAAAATCGTGTATAACAAACATTTAAATAAATAAATGTTTAGGTTATAAAATACCATATCGCAGTTGTCAGTACGGTCAATTACAATAATTATCGTATCCTACCATAAAATATCGTATATATGGTAGACCTGACTGAATCGAGCAGCTGATGCCATTCCCACAATGCAACATTCTCCTCAATTATAAGCTATGCCCCAAAATCAGAATTATAAGGTATGACTCAAAATCAGGATTATAAGCTATAGAACAGATTTGGAATTATAAGCTGTGCCACTATTTGACCATTATAAGTTGTGAAACTGTAAATGTTTCATACCTTATAACGTTTTAGAGAAATTGTGGCATAGCTTATAATTTTTCGTGAAAGTGTGGCATAGCTTATAACTGATTATAAGCTATGCCACATTTTCAACATTATAAGCTATGGAACAAATTCACGATTATAAGCTATGACATTATAAGCTATGACACCCCACGGCTGGCTGCATGTGAAAGGCAGGCGGCAGGCTGTTTCTGTGTGAATAACCTACGACGCTTTGGGTGGGTTCCATAATATCGACAACCGTAGAAATTGATCGAAACTGAATTATTCCCAGTTTGTCGACACTGGAATATTCCCACTTAACCGACATCCCAAATAACCGACGTCTCAAATGATCGACACCACAAATTGTCGACATCCCATATTGTCGACAATGAAATAGTTTCACTTTGTCGACACTGAAATAGTCCCAGTATATCGACAAGCTCCCGTTCTTCGGAGCTACTCTTGAAAAGGAGTTGTTCTAATTCATCGTTCATTTCCTCAACTCACGACACGACACGAGTCGCAATCGCAATATTTATTTGATTGTTGATTCCGAATTCCGACGGACATCATCTACATGATGGCCATTTATGGACTAAAACTTTTATATTGTAAATATTTATCTTTTTTATTTCTTTCCTTGTTTACAAGAAAATAGATGACTCGAGTGTTACAAACAATAGTTTTTAAGGAATAATGTGAAATAATGTTTATAGGATAAAAAACTTAAAAACATTACCAGACACTAACTTAGGTAATTCACCAACAAGAAGGTAAGAGGTGAGGTAAGATACCAACAAGAACCTAAGATACAGCTTGTTCGTAGGCTAATTCTGGATCATAGAGCAATATTATTGCAAATGTTTGAATAGGCAAATCCCTAGGCTATTAGGATTGTCTCTTATCCCCACTGACCCAGTGTCAACTTTGAGAATTTGTTTATGTAAAAATATTTGGCTGCACTAGTTTAGGCTATGTCCTACATTTATTCAAATGAAAGATATTAAATACATAGACTATTTAGTATTTTGAATATTGCAATCCTTTAGTTAGGTTAGGTTTTACCCTAACTAACCAAACTTGAAATAGGCTTAGGCCTAAGTTTATCGAATGAAATAATCAGTATGACTGGGACGTGTGGTGTCGTCCTGTAATCCAGCTACTAAGTTAGTAGGTCACGAATTGTGGATATTTATAGGCATGCACTGTGGATTCGATACTCCCTGGTGTGGATTAACGTCCGCACGAGTGAGTACTTACTACGACTCTCTGCAGTAGGCCTACTATCCTGATAATTAGACCAATTCGTATAAGTTAGGCCTTTACCAAGGCAATAATGTGGTTCGGATTCCACTATAAACTGTAGGTCCCTTAGTTGCCTTTAGCTGTATGGGCTATTAATTAACAGCTGTGTCTAAGGAATGTCGGTCTTTTAGTTACTAACAAGACTACAAGATCGCGCCACTCATCCTACACTTATCTCCATTCATACTTGGCTTAAAATACCTACTTTGTATGGTCGCCAAGTAATAAGAAAGAAAGTATTAAAGAAATATATTCACTGGAATGAGTGTAGGATGTAAACTTAAGTGCTGTAAAATATTCTAGAGAGGTTTGTATTTGGTGTAAGACTAGTCTTGGATTATATCATTCATTGCTGATGACTTCAATGTTAATTTTATAGATGATCCTGGAGCAAAGGCTGTAATTTGACCTGAGCCCAAATCGGTCTCTAGTTTAAATACATTATTGTCTTGAACCAATAAGTTAAGAGGACTAACCTTTCTGGACAACATTGCCATCGACATCACTGCAGATGAGAGATATAGAGAGACCAGAGTTGTGTACCCTGGAGGCTATTACCTTACTGCCGTGATAACTAAGTTATTCAAAGTTCAAATCGGTACTTTGGTAAGTATTATCCGGAGGCTACAGATATACAGCGCTTTGCGGCGGTTATGTTAGGTTGGGTTATCATAAATGGAAAGAACATTTTTATGTCCTAGGCCTAATGTCCATATTTGCGTGGATTTATTCTTAACTGTACAATATCTTTTGTTTGAATTGTTTGCGTTTATAAACTTATTTTATGGACAGAATTCAACCTTCATTCGATTTATTTCATTATCAGCAAGTTTGGTTGGTTAGGTTAGGTTATGACAGTAACTGCCGGATGCCTAATCCACGTCCGGTTACCGGACCCGTATCCTCTGCGTAGTATTTTACGTGCCGTACTGAATCCAAATAGACTACTATTTTTCACCGCAGATGAATATTACTGAAACAGAATAAATCGCCGCTCAAAATGTTTGAATAGTCAAGGTAGGGTGGATGACATTGACAAGTAGAATGAACTGTGGGTGGGTGAAGTAACTTTAGCCTACAGCTGATTGTTTTCAACAACAAGCAATTGGAAGTGACAACTTTATTTACTAAATATGATTCTGTCTTCGCTCATAGGATTGGCCCCGATTAATATTAATGACTGATCATATTTATCGGCGTTCCAATGCTCTAAGTCATAGCCTCCTCTACATATTTTATAGGCCTGCCTAATGCCTACAACCTTTTAAATTCTTTACCCTAGGGGAGCGAGCAGAACTTCAGTACCGGGCTCAAATCCTGGCAGATGACCAATGGATTTTATTAGCCTATTTATTTTTATTATTTTCTTTTGTGTGAATACCACAGCCCTAGACCTAGGCTGAAGTGTGAAATGTGAATTAAAATTCCGGTCTAGTGCCTGTAGCTTCATAGGACAAAAACAATGTGTGTATACAGTTATCACATTAGTTATAAACTAATAACTAGGTGGCCTGTGCGTAAAATTACACATTTTAACATGATAACAGTAATAATAAAAAGGTTGTTTAAGTCAGTCATTCACAGTTTTCAAAATGAAGCGCATGTGAATTATTTTTCCAACTGTCACCTGACAAAGTGGCCTTCCTTGCACTTATTATAGCACAAAAAGTTGCTAATTGCTGCAATTTACTTACTTTTATCACACTCTTTTTTTTGCCACACTCCAGAATTCCAACCAAACAACACAAAACAGCAGGGTTTTATTAGACACATAATACATACGTACACTTGAAAATAAGTTGGCTACCCATTCAAGATATTACGACTACAATCAACTGGTACAGCTTACCATTTCACCAATGTTTGGTTTTAACCTAACCTAGAAACGTGTTGAACAGGGTTTGAAAGACTAATTATTTATATGTTTTATAATAACTGTAAGAAAAATATAGTTTGTAACACAAGTGCAAACTGCCTTTGCTGCACTCGAGATACTTTCCACACTCGCCTACGGCTCGTGCGTTTAAACATTTCTCTCATGTGTAGCAAAGTGCCACTTCGCCCACTAGTTACAATAGTTTTTGGTGGAACATGAGGATAATATATAATCTGTATGCAAATTTATAGTTTTTTATAACAATTTAAAACTAGGCCCCTACTTAAAATTTATTTGGATTACCGTACATCTCGTAACATGTTGTTTTAATTAGGCTATAGCTTGCATTTTTGCAAATTGGGAAATAACAATGAATTAATGTTTGAAGCAATTTATTTTGTCCAAACCAAATTATTGATAAAAATTTTAATATTTATATTAACTTGACCCAGATTGCTAACAAATTTTCTTCTACTAGCTGTAGGCCTACCTATTTGAATATCGCAAATCTAGAAGGAGTCTACACTCTTGTATTATTTGTTAGACTAAAATTATTTGTATAACACTATTTTTTATTTTTTGCAATATTTCTGTACAGAGCTGTAGCCTACCAGTAGAATGGGGGCGTTGTAATTAATATCCTCCGACATTGGAGGATACAGGGGAGAGTTGCCAGAGGAAGAGGAGATGGAGGATGGGGCGAAGTAAAGACGAAGATTGAAGAGAACTAACTTATGGTAAGTTTTGCCATTTCCTTAAATTTAATACTTATAAATCCAGGGCCGTGTCCTGAAACCTATGTCGCATAACCCTCCTGAATTCCTAGTATAACGAGCATTTTAACTGAAGAGGTGCCCAAAATTTGCTTTTGTTTTTTAGGAAATGTAGGCTATATTTTTTGACAACATAATTATAATTAATTCTGAATATGACATAGTGTTTACATTTGGTAAGTACTGAAACAAAAATTATTTTAAGAGAAATGGAAAAGCGTTGCCAACAGAAGCAGTTGAAACAAGTAGAACAATTCTGATAGATCAATAAGGTATTTAGTACGAGCGAGGTTCAATAAGTCCTTAGAAAAACATAGAATAACAGTTTTGGGATAAATTTGATTTATTTTGTTATAATCTCCTTTTATTTAGCTCTATACACTTATCTTAAAGTTTCTCCAACCTCCTTCAAATGCTGTTCAAATAAATAGTAAGTTACCCTACAAACTTGAAAAGCCTACAAAATACTCTTCTGTTTCAGTGATGACCTCATCATTTGACATAAAACGTTGCCCAACAAGCCAATTTGTTATCTTAAGAAATAAAAAAGGTCATTCAGGGCAAGCAAAATTAATTAATTAATTTTTTTTGACAAACAAAATTATTTGACGGTTTTCTTTGCCGCCCTGTCAATCCAGTGTGTGGCTGAGGGTGGTGGGAATAGGGGTGTTACAAAGCCAATGTGCGAACAAATTTTAGTAAGTAGCCATGGAGCTGTGGACAGCTGAGCACCATGTATTTTTGAAGTGGAAGTGTTTTTAACACGTTCACTGCGGGCGTAGCCGATCGGATATGGGCCAAGCTGTGTTCAGGTGCTGCCGTAACAGATCAGATACGCTCAGCAATGCCTTTCGTATATCTTCGTTTTTCCTCTAGCGTCGTTCGAAGGCAGACCTATACTTTGTTAGCGTGTAGTGGGTGACTTGCTTTTGGTTGTGTTGTAGGTTGGTAGTAAAATTTCCCCATAAAATCCCCGTTTGGCAAACTTAAAAACCAACTTGGTGTCCCGTCCTTCTCCCTCCTATTGGCAATACAATGGGACCGGCTATATTCCAAGCAGTGCTGCTATCTGTGGGTGTTTAGCAAACTACGTCAACTCTTGTCATAAAACAGGACATCACGACATGTTATTTGATATTCGTCATACCGAAATATGAAAGCCAATCACCCGGCAATCGGGTTTGTTCGACGCTGCGGGCTGCGCCGCACTGGGGCTACGCCTGCCGTTTGATGGGCCGCAGCGAATGTGTTAAAAGTTGCTATACCTGTGTAGCTGTTCAGTAGACGTTTCAATGTGAATCAAAGAAGAAAAATCCCAACTCGCAACATCATTTTGGGTAGCAACTTTAGAGCTACTAGTTCAGCATTGAAACTAAAATCAACAGGTCAGCCCGGACGCCAGAGAACTTCAAGAGAGTGAGGGAGGAAGACTATGTGTTGTGGTTGAAAGTGCGATTCGTCGCTCATAACGCAATTTTGTCACGTTTAATCAAATCAATCACTTGTTCTGAAAATGAGATGCACTTTGCTTAGCCACTGGGCTTCAACTGTTGCACGATTGCCGTTTTGTATGAATAAAAAGTGCAGGTCATATCATAAAATTCTTCTACTGAGTGGCCAGACATGTGCAGAGCTACAGCTTATCTACGTGCAGACCCACAGCAAAATGTTGTTTCAAGTTAAGACTTTTCCCCTTGGACCCACGTTGAAACGTCTACGGGACTACCCCTGAACAGCTACACCGGAATTGCCACTTTTAAAAAACACTTTCACTACAATTTCATGGTGCTCAGCTGTCCACAGCTCCATGGCAACTAAAAAGGTCCGCACGTAGGCCTTGAAGCGCCCCTATCCCCACCACCCTCCGACAGGCACCGTCTTCCGTGTTTGAAGGGTCATCATCTTTGTCTCCCACGGTCGGCAGTGGTTAAAATCGTGGGCATCCTCGGGGCAATCGTGAACATCTTTTGCGGTTGCGAGGCCTGATTATCGTCATCCCGCGATCGCTGGTAATCGTAAATTTCGATCAGGCAATCTTTGCAGAGCTTTTGGCTATCATGAGAAAAAAGTTAAACTTGGATTATTGTACCCCCTATTTCTAACAGATTGTGAGAAAATTTATTAAGAGAATAAAACATTCTTTTGAGGCCCCAAGTGAGTCCCCTTCCCAGGCCGAAGCCCTCGGAAATCACAGTGTCTGCCATTAGGGCAATAGGGCCCTGATATTTGGAGGCCTATGTTGGTGTGGGGCCTGGTGCAAACCCCCCCCCCCCTCAGTACGCCACTGATCACATTGAATAATAATAGGAGTATGCATAAAAACACTAGACTTGTTCAGAATACAGTTTTTAATATTAATTTTTGTTCTGTTATATTCCAGGCCTGATGACAGGGTGGATGGCGATGGAGGCATGGAGGTTGGGGGAGAGGAGGCTGAAGAAGTGGAGACAAATCAGTTTAGATTCATTATGTTGATTAGTTTAATATTTTTCACCACACTTTGATGTTTTTGGCTGTATTACATACGTTAATTGGTGGCTGAAAGTAACGTTTTGCTGGCCATGCCAGCTGTCATCGTAATTTTGGGGACCGAGCAGGTTTTTACAGGCCGGGGCCGCAAAATCAGCTGTCCGCTTACTTACTTAAAACATGAATGCATTTTAAATACCCATAGCATTGCAGTAGAATTGTGTTATTGTCCCCGTTGCCTAACAACTATTTATTTTTATTTTTGCTGATTCTTCAAATTATTTCTTCACATAACCTTAAAGTTGTTGTTGTGTTGACAATCAGTGTGCATTATTATAGTGTTGAATAGTGGTAATAGGGTATAGTGTGGTGAAAAATAGCGTTCGTACCACGGACCGAAATGGTTTTGCAGCTCTCGATCGATTTAAGTTCTCGACTTCGTCTCGAACTTAAAAACTATCTCGAGCCGGCAAAACCTCATTTTCGGCCCTAGGTACGAAATATACTATATTTTGTACATCAGTATAGGCCTACTTTTATTTACATTTTTTTCTCATTTAGATTATTAAATTCAGATAATTTTATTGTTTTTAAGAAAATGTTTTCTTAAATTTTTAATATTTGTTTGTACTTCTGCCTGTTAAAAAAATATACTGTTTATTAAGTTTGTTAAAATGATTACTTTCACTAACTGACCTTGTCTTAGGTGAAAAGAGACATCTTGATATTTAACTATAGTCCTCGCCACCCTAAGTTGAGGCAGCCCTAGGCCGCACTAGATATACGCCGTGCGGCCTAGGGCTGCCTCAACTTAGGGTGGCGAGGACTATAGCAGGGTGCCTGTTCTATGGGCGGGGATCGTATAAGTCAGTTGAAACCTTCTTATATTTTGATACTTAGTAAATTAATCTTTTACAACTTTATATAGTATAGATCGTTATTCCTGTATTGATGTACTGAAATGAATAAAATTATATGAAATGAAATGTTGTTAGCGAATTTCCCATTTACTCATGGTAAGACGTGGACCCGGGACCGATTTAATTTTTCGTTTTGAGGTCCCTAGAGGCCAAAAACACCATCCGTTAAAATTCATGTATAGGTATATATATTTATGAAAAAATAGTTCATATTTATTTGTTTTGTTCACTTTTATATTTTTCATTAATTTCAATTTGCTTGAAAACATTTGTACTAAACGAAAATTTGCAATGTTTCATGTTTCATTTATCATAAACTCTATCAAGATCTCCTCAAGAATAATATATATTTATATATATTAGTAATTGAAATAAATAATTAAACATTTAGTACCCTTTAGTTATTAAGGAACGTGGCAGCGTTCCGGCCCGCCAAGTCCCCCAGCGGTACACAGCTGCTGCAGTGTATATATACATGACGTGACAAAGTGGCTTTTTTACTCGTCTATAGCTCTGAAGAAACAAAAAGCTATTAAAATAACTGTTCATCTACTGGATAGGGGCACTCATTCTCAACAAAATTAAAAAAAGAATTTAAAAAACGATAGGCTACTGTTTGAGCCAAGAAAAACTAGTTTGAAAATTCACAAATTTTCCGTGTTCTCCTTTTCCTTCTCCTCCTCCTTGAATGTTGACGGACCTACAGCCCAAACCACTGGCTCAATTTTGATGTTTTTTACATTGTTTGAAAGCCCTTAACGTGTAGATGTGCATTTTGAGGGTCACAAGTCGGTGCGTTGACCCATAAATAAATAAATAAAAATGCCTTTATTTACGAGCGTCTTTCAGTAAACCCTTGGCAAGTCCTCAAAGTACGATTTTGGCCCATTTAAATAACATGGGATTAAAATCAAAACATATGAAAGACCAGCTGCGATTAAATCTCAATTAATTTAAACTAGTGTACATGTTGCTCGAAATCGAGCAATTGCAAAGAAGTACAGGAGTTATTTATAAACAAATAACTTGTTTAAAAACTAATAACAGTCATAATTTCTGATGATTTTAAAAGAGTCAAATAAAAGATTATTAACTGATAAAAATACTCACAATTTACATGACAGTCCTATTCCAGTTTAAAGGTTTAATTTTTAACAATCAATCTGCCCACGTACGGGAAAAGGTAAGCTTACAATTTAAGTCAACGTAAAAAGGCTGTCAGCTTTTATAAAGTACCGTACCTAAGTTGTTTGGCCAATATGTAGACAATAAGGTGTATGTTACTTTAAAATCTACAGGATAGAGTTAGGCAAAAACTGGCAGAACTCTGAAATGGTGTTATTTATCATAGGCTTACTCATATGCAAAATCCTTAGAATAAAAATGCAATAACTAATCACCGATATCATTTAACACAAACCAACATCCAAAACTAAACACATTTTTAATACAACATAGATAATTTACACATTGACTGTTTTACATATGTTCTTCTTCTCACTATTAATTTTTGCTTCGCAATGGGAAAAATCTGTTTCATAATCATTGAAATAAATTTATAATAAATAATCTATCATAAAGTTTAAGATTAAATAAACCTACCACATAGTTGTTTTACATGGTGGAAGGAAAATACTTTTTTTGGATCAGCTGTCGGAATTTGTTAAATAGACATTAAGCTGGGTTTTCCTAGCAGCGGAATCGGCCAGCGGAGAGCGGACTCAGCTTGTCTTAGGCAATTTAATGTTACTGTTTTCCTAGCAGCGGAGCGGAATGCCATGTTAATTTCAATTCCGCTCTCCGTTGTCCGCTCTCCGCTGGCCGACTCCGCGCCTAGGAAAACCCAGCTTTAGACAGTTCTAGTTGTTTACAATAAAATGTCAAAGCAAATGTAAACATTGTGAATTTTCTCATGCTTCCATGGAGACCAATTATTTAATATTTAATTTCTGACAACAGCTGGAGTTTCAAAACAATGTTTGTTTCCCATGTTAATCTTATGGAGGAATACGAAACTTTAAAGGGCCTCAGGGCCTCACTCTCTAATTATTTACCTAAAAAGAAAGTTTCCTGCACAACTTCACGTTAAGCTCTTTCCAATGACACCAAAAACATGCCAATCGGTTCAGTAGTTTCGGAGGAGTAATTGTCACAAAAATCGTGCTTGCGTATTAAATAAGTATAGATGTTAGAGAAATTCATAGGAACAGCTGATAATGATTTTAAAACTTTTATAAAGTATTTTTTCAGGTATACCGAATGATTTGAACTACTTACTATATAAAATTATTACTTAGAGCAGTGATATTCCCCGATACTTTCCATTGAAAAATGTAGTGTACCTATGGTACACTGGTACAGCAGCTCGTCATTTTTAACAGTTTAATACTACTTAACAAAACATATTAAACCTAGGAACTTGAAACGTAGTACTAGTACTAAGGTTTGTTTTATATTTTGATACACTAAAACAAATCAAACAATCGGGAATATCACTCTATGTATGTTAAACAAGCAATTAAAAAGTGATATGTAAATTTAGGGTAAATTAGTTTTTCAATATTTGTTTTTCCTTATGCTACCTATTTCTAACAAACCTAAACTGTTTGATTACATTTTTACTTCTATAATAAGAGCTCAATTTACACTAGTCTTTAGATGCACGGGTTTAATTGAGCGGAGCGAGCGAAGCTCTTATACGTCGACTCTTATGCATTTCGTAATACGCAAACTCCTCCTAGACGGCTGAATCAATCGTTTTCAAATTTTGCATGGTGATAAAGACCATATCGGTGAGTGCCAACATCTATATGGCGTTCAAAAAGTCTCTCAGGAATCCGCCCCACTGGGTCTCAAAGTTTCAACGTAATCCTTATGGAAGCAGTATTTGACACATAAACAAAGACATATGATCAGCTGTTGACTTTTGAATACAGTAGATAAAGAAATAGCTGATAGCATTATTCCACAGATATTAGAACAGAAACTGTATGGATCATAAATATAATCAAATGACGACACTAGCTTCAGGTCGAGGTGGTCCGTGACGAATCAAGCGGTGAAGGAAGTAGTAAAGGTAAGCAGTCTGGAGTGTGGGAACTGTTTATGACGATTAGATTAAGGTACTGTATCTGCATACCTAAATTTCTATGGGAAGGGAGGAAAACAGGTCCGCGACGTAGGAAGTGGTGAAGGAAGTAGTCAAGGCGAACTGTCCGGAGTGTGGGAACTGTTTGACGATTAGATTAAGGTATCTGCAATCATATTATGCTATTGGAAGAGAAGAAAACAGGTCCGCGACGTAGAAAGTGGTGAAGGAAGTAGTAAAGGCAAGCGGTTCGGGGTGTGGGATCTGTTTGTGACCATTAGATTAAGGTATTTGCAAACCTATGATGCTATGGGAAGGGAGGGAAACAGGTCTGTGACCTAGGAAGTGGTGAAGGAAGTAGTCAAGGCGAGCTGTCCGGAGTGTGGAACCTGCTTGTGACGATTAGATTAAGGTATCTGAAATCCTAAAATGATATGGGAAGGGGGGAAAACAGGCCCGCGACGTAGGAAGTGGTGAAGAAAGTAGTCAAGCTGTCCGGAGTGTGGAAACTGTTTGTGACGATTAAATTAAGGTATCTGCAATCCTAAAATGCGCCGCTATGGGAAGGGAGGAAAACAGGTCCGCGACGTAGGAAGTGGTGAAGGAAGTAGTCAAGGCGAGCTGTCCGGAATGTTGAAACTGTTTATGACAATTAGATTAAGATATCTACAATCCTAAAATGCTATGGAAAGGGAGGGAAACAGGTCCGCGACGTAGGATGTGGTGAATTAAGTATTCAAGGCGAGCTGTCCGGAGTGTGTAAACTGTTTATGACGATTAGATTAAGGTATCTACAATCCTAAAATGCTATGGAGGAATTGAGGGCGTAGGAGGAAAACAGGTCCGCGATGTAGGAAGTGGTGGAGGAAGTAGTCAAGGCGAGCTGTCTGGAGGGTGGGAACTGTTTATGACGATTATATTAAGGTAACTACAATCCTAAAATGCTACGGGAAGGGAGGAAAACAGGTCCGCGATGTAGGAAGTGGTGGAGGAAGTAGTCAAGGCGAGCTGTCTGGAGTGTGGGAACTGTTTATGACGATTAGATTAAGGTATCTGCAATCCTAAAATGCTATTGGAAGGGAGGGAAAGAGGTCCGCGACGTAGAAAGAGGTGAAAGAAGTAGTAAGGTGAGCAGTGTGGAGTTTGGGAACTGGAAACCGTTTGTAGCAGTTTTAATGTATCTGCAATGCTGAAATTCTATGAGAAGGGATGGAAGCATGCCCACTACATAGAAAATGTTGAAAGAAGTAGTAAAGACTAGCCGTACGGAGTGTGGGAATGTTTGTGGCAATTAGATTAAGGTATCTAAAATACTAAAATGCTATGGAAAGTGATGAATACAGGTCCACGACGTAGGAAGTGGCTTAGGAAGTATTTAAGTTTTAAGTATGAGCATAGTGTGAGATCCGTCTGTGGCAGTTAGATTAATGTATCTTCAATCCTAAAATGTTTTGAGAAGGGAAGGAAACAGGCCCCACGACATAGGAAGTGGTGAAGGAAGTAAGGCTGGCAGTGCAGAGTGGGGGAAGAGTGAAAATCT